TTTAAATATTAAAACATCATTTTTTTTAATTTTTTTCATAATTATTTATAGTGTTTGAAAATATGTATATAAATTGACTTTAATATGGTAAATAATATATATTAATTATTTTGTTATTTATCAATTAATTATTATAGTTATTATTTATTTTTAACCATTAAATTAAATAAAATTAATTTTTTAAAAGATATTATTAAAAAATTTTTGTCACTCTTGACACTTTAACGCGCTGGTATAACTAGGCCCAACTACACTGTATCAGCTACTTGATTGGCAAGGTATGTGAATTTTGAAAGATTCACACCCTTTGATATAGTAGTTTGCGGAGAACTGCTAGCTTTGTATAATATATGAATTTAATGAATTTATTTATTTTTAAATTGTTAACAAAAACATAAGCGTTTCTTAAAACATTTTACTTGCCTTATACTTAAGTTGAGGAGAATGAAGCAGAAGAGAGGAAAATAAAAGGTTTTTTAATCAATCAAAATATAATAATTTTAAAATATTATAATTTAATTAATTTAAAAATCTTTTCCTCCCCTTCTCTCTATTACTCTTAACCTAGATATATAATTAATGATTTAAAACTAATTGAGGGTTAGATCTAAATTGTCAATGGATTCAAATTTTTTTAATTCTATTAATAAATTTATTATTTTAATTATTCATTTTTTGTCATTGTCTATAATTACTCTAATCCATTAGCAGACCTAGATTGGTAGATCTAGCTTTTTTTTTGTCCAATAAAATTAATTACCTTTTTCTTCAATTTTAATAGATCTAATTTTTAATTCAGGGAGTTTTAAATATTTTTTATAAGAAATAGAATTTTATTAATATACAAAAATATTTTGTTAATCTCATAGGATTAATTCAAATGTGATAATACGCCATAGGCTTTGCATTCATAAAATTTTGAAAATATAAAATTAAATAATCTAATACTCATAAAAAAGAAACATAGTTGTGAATTTGAACCAATATCTCTGTACAAGTTGGCCTTCTAGTTGATCGTGAGTGGGTGGTCGCCCTCCTCATTATAGTCCTTTTAAAATCAATGGCATTTCATCATAATACATCCTGTCCTCTTACTTTCGTAGACCTGGTTTTCAATTTAAAAAGTTTTAAATTTTTTTATGAGAAATAAAATTTCATTAATATACGAAAACATTTTTTTACAGTTTTACAAGGTCAATTTGAATGTGATAATACATTATAAGTTTTGCACTCATAAAATTTTGAAAATATAAAATTAAATAATCTGATACCTATATAAATGAAATGTAATTGTGAATCCATTTGAATGAAGAGGAATAGAAAGATCCATCGGCAGATATTTAAACTTGAGGCAAAAATTGTTGATGAAGTTCAGAGCGTAGTAAGGGATAAAATTTTGGGGTTTGCTAAGCCAAAATCCTTCCCTTTGTCCTTTCTTAAGCTTTGAATTGGGGAATTGAAAACTTGGTTTAGTGTTGTTATGCAAGAATGTAGTATTTTCATTCTTTTGCAGTAGTTTTATCAGCTGCCAGACTAGTGCATGTTGTAAGTTGATGGATAAATGAAATTTTCACATTTTATCAAAAGAAAAAGTGCAAATTTTAATTGGGAATGTGTAAATTGACATGTAAGATTTAATA